AGGATCGGTACAAAGCCGGTAAATCCCTCATGTATTTACTGGATAGATTCACCAGATGATCCATCAATCGCAGAAGATCCTTATCTTCCGCGTATGCTTTTCGTACGTCGTCAAGTAAACTTGACGACGAGACACTGACTGACAGTGTCGCAACAGTGGGCTTATCCTCACTGTTGATTTGTGCGTCCGGCTCGAAATCGGGCCGGCGCGAAAGCGCATCAGCGACGACATTGAGTCGTCCTGGTTTATACTCCACGGAGAAGTTATACTCCGCGAAGAAAGACAGCCACCTCGCCATCCTTTGCGAGAGGTGTGGGCTGTTTACGGCCGTGCGTAATGACGCATGGTCCGTATAGACAACAAACGGTCTATCTCCCAAGAGATAGACGCGAAACTTAGCCAGTGCGTACTTCATGACAAGGAGTTCCTTGTCATGCACTGGGTAATTGCGCTCAGCTGCTTGCAGCTGACGCGACTGATAATAGATGACGCGCTCCGCGCCATCTGCATCGAACTTCATTAACGCACAGCCGATTGCAAAATCGCTGGCGTCACAGACCACATGAAATGGTCTGTCCTGATCTGCAATCGCCAATATCGGCGATTGCATCAAGCTTTGATTGATACCCTCAAAGTAACGCTGGCACTCAGCGTTCCATGACCACTTGACATTTGTCTTGAGCAAGCAAGAAAGATGAACAGTCATCTCGGCGTAGTTGCGCGAGTACTTGTGCAAGTATGCCGCTAGACCAAGGAACTTCCTTAGTCCCTTGACATCGACTGGCACTGGCTAGTCGGTGATCGCCTTGATCTTTTCGGGATCAGGGTGTACGCCGTGTTTGCCCACGATGCACCCGAGAAGTGGTATTTAGCTAGCCGCGATTATACACTTCTTGAGGTTGGCGTACAACTTATACTTTCGCATAAGTAAAAGAACCTGACGAACGTGAGTTCTGTGAACTTCAACGTCCTTATTTCCGTCCATAGCCCGGCTATGGACGAACACATCGTCGAAGTAACCCGGTGCGAAGTCTCGCACCGGTCTCAACAGATTTGTGACACATCTGTTGAATGTTGCAGGGGCATTGCTCATCCCCTGTGGCATAACTAGCCACTCCCACAGCATCCCGCTGGGGGTAATCACTGCCGTGAACGGGATGTCCCGTTCACGCATGAGGATCTGATAGAATCCATCCATCAGATCCATGGGCGAAAAGATGGTACTCTTTGACATACCATCTATGATTACGTCCTTCCTCGGTAACGGCGTCTGAGCCGGTACCGTTGCAGCATTCAATTTGTTGAATGCGTGCACTATCCGCCACCCTCCTGTGGCCTTTCGCACACAGAAGGTCGGAGAGCTGTGAGGGGATGTTGATTCCCTCACATGGCCCGCTGCTAAGCGATCGGCAAAGAACTTGTCGATCGCTAGTACTTGTTCACGAGGCAGTGGCCACTGCTTCATGACACAGTACTTCGAGCCCGGTCTGAGCTCGATCTCGTGTCGAGTGCCTTTGTCCTTAGGCAACTTGCACGGTACAGATTCAGGGAACACATCCCTGAATTCGATCAAATCCTTGTACAAAGGATTTGCCTGAAGTGACTCCCAGGATTGGGACGCGTATCGCTCAATCCGAGTCTTCTCATCGACTACACTTTCGTCCATCGACGAGCTGCTGAAAACCCGTTCGTTCTCAGCAAATACTGTTGCCGACCGAATATCGGCCACATACTCATCCTCTGTGACGAGTATGCAGATCTGCTTGACTTTGCCACTACGCAGATCACGCAAGGACCGTTTCGGTTCTAGCGTTGGCAACTGAGTTATCTCCGAAGTTAACTTCGGAGGCACAATCAGATCAAGCGTATAAGCGCCTACGCTTGATCCGCCATTAACCAAGACGTTCAACGTCTCGGTTACTTCTTGGGAACTTCTTTCCACAGGTTGCTTAGGGCCTGATCCCTCAGCAAGTGACTCTTGAGGAATTCCTTCCTCAAGTACGTGGGGACTTTTTCCCTCGACGTCTTCTGACTGTGGCTGTTCAACCACAGTCAGGCACCGATCCTCTACGGTCGACTCTCCAGTCGACCTAGGATTTCCATGTTGCCCTTTGGGGGCAACAGGTTTCTTCTGTCTAAGATGCTGCTCGCTAGGCATGCATCCATGTCCCGGTCCACTCGACTTATTCGAGTGGTGGACCTTCGGCGCAGCCTGTACTTCTGTACAGCCACCGGGAGCTTGCTCCACAGTGTAGTGATCAACTACACTGTGATCTTGTGCAGTCGTGCTAACGACCGAACCTCAAGTGAGGCCATCGCACTCACTCGCAGAACATCCACACGCTTGTGGACGCTCCAAGATGTTCATCAGATGGCCATCTGATGAACAAGTGGCAGGCATCTTCACGGATCGATGCTGCCAGCTCACCCTTGGCTCGTACTTTCTGAGCCAAGGTAATCCCAGGATGACATCAAATTTGTCATCCAGATCCAGTATAAGTCATCATCGTACTGTTCGCCCTGTAACGTGTAGTGGATTCCTAATACACGTTTCTCAACGGTTATCGATGCGCCTGTTGCAAGGCGCACCGTCATCCTCGTGAGGGGAATGTCGCGCTCAACGAACTCGAGCCTACGACCCTCTAGTGACTGGCGACGAACAAAGTTGTTCGACGCCCCACAGTCTACTAAGGCACGAAACGACAAATCATTTGTCGCTTCCAACTTCAAGGTGATGAGCGAAACGTCATCACCAGGTGCAGCGACACACAATGATTGTGTATCTGGAGCAACTTTCGTCAAGAGATTTGCAAATTCTCTTGAGGTTGCTGGATCAGTAGGGCGCTCCGCCCCTACTGACCCCGACCATTTTTTGATGGTCCGTCTCGCTGTTGCGGCTTCGCAACAGCGCTGGACCCACGCCCATTGCCCTTCTTGGCGAATGGTCGTCCATTTCGCTCAGTACTGTTTGGTACTGGGCGTGGAGCACTACACTCGTATGCGTAGTGCCCTAGCTTCTGATAGCGATTGCACCTCTGCAATCGCTTGTTGTTTGAAGAGCGAGGTCTCTCGCTCTCAACATAGCAGAGCTCCATTGGTTCTGGACCTCCGATCTCTTGTCGTCTTGGTGGACGGTAAGAGTTTGAGCTATCATGAGCCTGTATCATGCTAAAGTCTTCCTGTTCCGCGGCTGATATCGCTTCTTCAAGCGTATTCAGATCAAGGCGGAACAGGTGGCTCCTGACGGGCCCTTCTGCGAGCCCTTGCATGAACACCGTAATCAACGTGTGTTCATGAACTGGGTTAGCAGTTATACTACTCGCAAGGAGTCGTATGTGTTGTGCGTAAGCGTGCACATCACGCTTACCCTGCTTGAGTTTCCGGAGCTCTGAACGAGCCCTGAACTCAGCCCGTGGCGGCTCAAACGTTTGTCTGAGCCGGGACTTGAAGTCATCTAGCGACTTAAACACATTTGGGTCGCTACTCTCGAGCCCCAGGGACCAAGTTTTGGCACGCCCTGCCAAGTGGGTTTGAGCAAATGTGAGTTTCATTTGCTCATCTTCGACGCGACGAGCCCTTAGGGCTCTGTCGAGTTCGACAAACCATAGTAACAGGGAGTCTTCCGGGACTCCGCTGTACTTGGAGATGTCAACTTTCATGACTTCGGGACGTCGCGCATGCGCCGTCCCGCCCACAGCAGCATGGAATTGCTGCTGTCTCAACAGCTCTGTCTGTTGAGCACCGAGTTCTCTCAACTGCTCGGCCTGTTGAGAGCCTTGCTGGTGAAGCAAGGCTACTTTCTCTCTTTCGGCGACAAGTTCATGTTGTATGAACTTGGCGATAGCGGCATGTTGTTGGTCTCTGTCTAGAGACTCCAACATGGCGCTAATGGCGAACTCGCCTACGGTGGAACTCATTCGTTCTACCGCACTCCATTCGATGTCACTCAAATGGGTAAACCCTTCACGCGTGGCGTGAAAGGTCTCTTCGTCATCCAACATGTTCATGTTGGATGTTGTGGTCCTTGGAAGGACTACAAAGTGCTACCAGGTGTAACGGGGCACACCCTTGCGTGAACTTAACGCAAGGGTATCGGTGCCCCGACAGACGTACACAAGGCAAGCGAGGAAGCGTAGGTAAGGTAAAAGCAGAACTGTTATATTAATATAATTAAGTCTTTAAACTACTGTCTCTTTGTTTGACTTAACTTAATTATGCTAATATAACTGAGTGTATGGTAACGTCTTGTCACCACTCATTGCGCGCGTCTTGCGGCGATTGGTGGGTTGATATCATCAAGATATCAACCAATGAACAGACTCTTTGGTCGACCCTTCAATATCACCGCTTCGGTGATATTGTTCAAAGAATATTCACTCCATATTATTTGTTGTCACTTTTCTCAAAGTGACAATTTCATGTAACGGGCTGCCCCGTTACACCGGTTCCTCGTGAGCCCAAACTGCATCGCACATTTTTTGATGGTGTGAGTGAAACGGCGTGTTGTCCGCAACGTTATAAGCGCCCACCGCTTGTGGAAGACTGATTTGCATCGACTGTGCGTTGGCCAAGCGTGAATAGAGAGGCGTCGTTACCGTAGTGCAAGGAGCTCGCTTACACGCATGTCTCAAGCTCTTTTGCCCCAGGTCCAAGCAAAGATTCGCCAGTCTAGAAGGATGCCACGAGCAGCTGCCGCAACCGGCGCTCTATTCCTGATGCAGAAGTTTTTATCTTGCACATGATGTTGATGGGTAACAGACAGTCATGAATCTGTCTCTCTCTCTCTCTCTCTCATACTGAGCTGCACCCAACAGTTTAGTAAACGCACGTGCAATTCATCTTTCTACTCAGATGATACGTTAGATGGCGTAAAGGATGTGCCGAGTGCATAGCTCGGACCACTCGCTGGATGACGGGCGCACTCATGTCCGACGCTCCTACTTCACGCCATTCCCACATATTCCCTCTTAGGGTTACTGGTCGAGTTCTACTCGTGAGCAATGCGTCTCGTGTATGCGGTGCTTCTGCCTGGCGTCATCGTCCTTACGTCCAACGTGCACCTACTTCGAGCCCATGCGCTTGGTGCCGACGAGACGGACGTATCTGCTAGTGACGCTCGTCCATCCAATACAGCCGTTAGTGACGAAGAGCGTGCACCCTTGCGGTTTGTGGGTCAAATAGAGAGGATCGTCGGGAGAACATTTGCGGCGCCAGAGGCTAGTATGAAAACATCTGCATTCGTCGGCAACGATCTACTGGCCTCGTCCAGCGTCAAACACGCAAATGATCAAGCGGCACGTGCATGGAACAAACTCGATTCTCAGCTGGACCGCTTGCTGAACAAGTGGCGGACGAAATGGTTCACGAAGTCCAAGAATTTCTTTAACAGCCCGGAGTACGAAAGGATGATCAAGCTGGTAGAAGAAGTCCAGCGAAATTTCCCGATTGACGGCGCCTTCAATCCTCACGAGTTCATCGTGCGTAAGTTCAAACCAGAGTTTCTGCGATCGGTGATCGAAGCAACCGCCATGAGTAAGAACGCAGACGTGAGAGCTCAAGGATTACAACTTCTGAAGGATAGCCAGACGAAGAAAGAGCCTTTATATGCTGTTTCAAGAGACACGGACCCACAACCTGCCAAATCGACGACCATGTTAATACGCTATGCACGCCCTGACAGCGATGTTGTGTAGCTAGAGACATAATCTCGTTTCGGTAATATATACATGCACCGTTGTCGTGATAGTAACGGTACCACTGGTGTCCTTAACCACCACTCGCGTTGCCTGAGCGAAATTACTTGTTGTATTTTGCTAGCCTGGTGATCGTGTTTCCGTTCGTTTTTGCATTACGGTCATCCTTGCGCTCGATGTCGGGCAGATAGTAGCAAAGTATATGTCTATCTCAGTGATGCTGATAAAGCAAACTCGCTCGGTTCAAAGCAACAAACGTACGGCGCGTGTTACCCATAAAAACCTGTCACTTTTTTCCGGCGGCCAAATTTAAAAACATTTCGCCATTTCCGCAACCGTAAACGCCTTTATGATTATGATGCATTGCTACAACAGTATCACAAGGATCATCAAAAATGTCGATCATTATGCACCTGATCGGTAGCATCTGTATATTCGATCTTGAATACAATACTGGTGCATTTTTAATTCCTTTTGGTATTTTGATGCATTTATTCCTGTCTTGTGATGCCCTTCTATATTCTCTTTTTAATTTTAATGCAGTGAGAATGTCGATTATATCTGCTTTGACAAATATCAGGAACTAAATATTGATCTAAACATTTGCTTGTTGTAGCAAGAATTCCTGCTAAAAAAATGAATACTGTCATAAAAAGACTTTTGACCCAAAATAATTCTAAATAAATGCAAGTGATCTAACGAGCAATTTTATAACCCTATACCCACTCGACTCTTCATTCTTAAAAGCAGCAGTTATTAACCTAAACATACACAAACGTAATCATCAAAACCACGTACGACATGGCAAGACATCTCTTCGGTTTCAGGGTACCTATCACCAGTCTGACTATGACACTGCGCCATCGCGACGACGAGCTGTTCACGAAAACGGTCACCCGCTTGAGCGTGCCAGATACAAGGTCCAGCTCGTCGATACAAAGTGCGAAGGACCGATCCTTGACGTTACTACTGATGGAAGCGTTTTGCAAAAATAAATTCAACCATGCGCCGTTTCTACTCTCTTGTGCGCAGACCATTGCACTCACTTTTGTCTCTAGTTCTTTATTAATCGAATTGCTGTTTCACAACAGGTTTTGCCCTTTCCAAGTGGATTGCGTGACAAGTAATTCCCTGCAACACGCCCTTTTGCTATTTCTGCTACACGACTACCACGCATAAGCCGAGAACGCCGCACATGCACCAAAATTCTTTGCATACCTAGCAAGCAGCTTTGCAAATGTGTACCACGGGCAACTGGATATGCATGCTGCCTTGAGCACGTCTTGTCGTGTCGCTAACAGTGCTGGTCCTTTACCATGGTGTACAGGTTGTTCCTCGTATCGCAGTCCGATTCGACGAAGAAGCCGCTGTCTCCGAGATCACCTCGTCATCTTTTCGGGAAACTTCGGGCTACAATGGAGCTGCATTGTGTGCACAGAATGGCGCAGCTCAAAGAGCAGAGTCGCTTGAACGTACTTCGATCTGCAATTATCGCTACTTGTAGCATACTCTCAGTCGTTAAGAAAGCGATCGGCTGCTTCTTTGCTACTCGCACGTAATCTCGACACTTGAACAGAGCGTGGTCATTCAGATGCTGGGAAGCGCGTACTTGAAATGGCTACAAGACGTGTAAGAAATAGCACTGGCCTAAAAGTAAGTGCCGGCGCAAGTAATATCCCTACCCTTGCTTACCTACTTTTCGCAATCCAACGGGTCGCCCGGTTGGTGCGACATACAAACCTTTATGATTAACAAAGCAGCAGAAGTCATCTACGGGCGACGTAGCAGCCAAAACAAAAGATGATTGCAGTCCATGTGGACAAGCAAACCACAACAAGTACAAGTGCCCTGACAAGAGTGCTCTAGCTACCACTGTGGCAGCCTATGTGTCATTCAATGTCTCATTGTGTATATCTGCGACAACTGTGTGTAGATGTTACATACGTCTACCCGTGTCCTCTGACGTTTCGCAACAACTGGCACATTGGTATTCGCGCTAGAACTGACCCCGGACTCGACCTCTGCTTCTACATTAATCCCACGAACGCTAGGGCGGTCTACAATCGTGTTCTTTGCAGTCACTCCGATGCATGGTCTTGCAGCGCGAAACTCTCAGAACAGGAACAAGCTGCAGCCTTGACGCAACACGACAGTACACCGGATCCATAGAATTTGCGGGGAGAAGTAAAGAAAAGCAAAGCTGTATCTGGAAGCAGCAATGCGTGTACTGCGTTTATTAGTTCTCTGCGTGGTCCGTAGTGAATGCCGTGAGAACAGCGACAGTGCGTACCTATACAACGCGCACTTATCCCTGATGCGTCCCTTTTTTCACGACGTTTCTGTCCATGGGGCAGTCCAACGAGCAACAACGCGCCGTGGAAATAGCCCTTCGTATATTCCGATTCATAACGTGCCGAGTGTAAACTCGAAGCGGTCACGCTCGACACGGCCTAAATCAGAAAAAAAGAACTACACTATCTGCGGTGCAGACATTTTTACTCTCCCAATCAAAAAACGTTTAAAAGCTAGCGCTACTTCAGACACACACGTCTTGCAGCAGCATCATCATCGACCTCTGCGCCCGAGACGGCTTTCGGGAGCTCTTCTGCTTGTTCCAAATATGAACGACCCAAACACTCGACCCTACCGCGCGCCGTGGCTCGCTGTGTACGTCGTTCTGGGCGCCAGTGTGCTTGGGAATCTGCTGCGTACCGCGTACTGTTCCGCTCGAGACGTGCGCGAGCTGTACCCGCACTTTTCGTTCCAGGAGCTGCTCGTTGAGGAACTCGCCATGCACCAGACGTGGCTGCCATTGCTTCGTGTGCACGTGTCGACACTGCATCTACTGGGCGCGTACGCTGCGGCACTGGCTGCGAAGCAATGGGGTGTGCTACCGCGAGGCGGGGCGCTTGTAGCAGACCTTTTTTCCGGTCGGTGGCTCTGTTGTCCGCTTTTTGAAACCGTTTTCGCACTGTAAGTAAAGTATCGCCGTTTAAACAAGTCGTTTGCTATGTGCGACGTGCTGACGCGCGTCGTTTTTGCTTTTGGTCTGCTGTGTGTGTGTGTGTGTGTGTAGACTGCCGTTTGCTGGCGCAGAGCCAGACGTACCTGAGCTGATATCGGACGACGAGGCGTCGGCAATTGACGCAGATGGAGGGGATGGAGTTGGTGCAGACATTGCGCCATGTCCTGTAGATGTCGACGCGTGCAACAGAGCACTGGCCAAACTAGTACAGGTGAAGCTGCAGCATGCCGACCAGACGATCCCGCGACCTGACGACTGGCTCGTGTTTGACCCCGTGCAAGAAAAGCTGGTGCTGCAGAAAGACACGGCGTGTGTGAAGGACGCGTCTTCTTTGTCGTCGTCGTCGTTGTCGAAACACAGTCACAGCAGTGGCAGTAAGGTTGATCTTTTGCGTGAGCAGGCCAGTTGGAGACAGTGATGACGAGGCGTTGCTGGACAGGCAAAAATGCGAAGATTGGCGAAGGCGGTCGACAGGAAAGTTGTAACACCAAATGTCAAAAGCCCCGTGGCGGAGAGTAGTAGAACATGATTACAGAGACCCTATTGTGCGGAGTATGGACGACATGCAACACATATCAAGCGTAAGCAGCACAAACCCGTTTTTATTTATCCCGACGCGTTCGCCTTCTACTCGGACTCGTACACCGTTTCTTCCTCTAGCGGAATCGGGACGGTTGCAATCTGTCGCCATAGCCGAACGGATCCACCAAGCGCGTAGCTCATGATGCGTTTTAGCGCAGTGAGAGGCAGCTTGCCCTGTTTGCCGCCGTAGCCGAATTGACAACAAAGACGAATCGCGCAAAGGACTGCACTAGGTGGCATGTGGCCGCCACTCGTCGCTGTCCAGTCACGGAGCGCCGAAACAAGGCATTGCAGACTCGCCAGGGATAGCGGCAGAAGCTGACTCTTCTTACTCATGGTAACACGTCCCCGCGACGAGATGAAGACGAAGTAGTCGGAATCCCATACTGTCATGCTCGAGTGTTGAGCCACACACGCTAATCGTAAGTGCTCGAGGCACCCGTCAAAGCCCTGGTTACCTGGCGCTGGAAACAGCTTGCTGCATACCTTCGAGTTCAACACTTCTTGCGGGTAAAACGCCCGCAAATCGTTCATAACCACTTCGTTGTGTCCGCATACTTTGCCGAATGCACCACCCCATTTTTCGATATCAATCGGCTCTTTATTGGGCATCCATCTGCTCAAGTGGGTTGATCCCTGCACCTTGCTTCGTGCAGCACAAACCTTCTCACGAAGTGCAAGTGAGTTTTTGTCCTTCGATGCACCGTGCCGGACAGATCCCTCCCATTGACCACCGTATTGTCGACCTTCAGCAAAGTCCATCCACCGGGTTTGGGCAGACGTCCGTTTGTCCGTCATGGCCGTTCCTACAGCAGCATTTACCGTGCCAAGGCCCAGCACTTGTAGTTTCTCGCCGCGGTGCTGACTATCACACGTTTGTTTTCCACTCGTCGGCACACCCGCACTCTTCGCGTTCATTCCCGGCAACCCACGCGCCAGCGCAACGTACAACTTCTCAGTCAACGCCTGCACTCTCTGTTCATCCGGTGACATTGCGCGCTTTCGCTTCTTCTTCCGCCCGCCTGCTGCTTCCTCGTCATCATCATCATCTAGACCTGCTCCTTTTGCCAGTTTTTGAGCCCACTTGTCGACATCTCCCATAGCAGCAGCACCAGTAGCACTCGTGTTGCCAGCACGTTGCGCAATATCCACTACCTGCCGCGCCAGCTTCAGCCTCTTCTGAAGTTGCTGTAAGCACGGTGTCGTGACGAGCTCCAGCAGGAAGCGCTTCGAGTTCAGCAGCTCTTGTGTTCCAGCAAGGCCCGCATTTGCAGCAGTTGCTACATGATACACATGAGCAAACTTTGAGGTCGCGACTTGCACAGCTTGAGCACTCACAGCGTCTACTAAGGCCACATCTGCCGTTGCACATGTCGTGCTTGCCAGCAACTTGTCCGTGGTCACGAGCACCATTGCATGCAGTGGCGACGACAATAGCGACTTCGAAGCGCGCAGTCTCTGCACGGTATCATGTCGTTGCTGCCCCGTCATTTTGCCATGCAGCGCAACAGCCTGCAGACCCAGAAGCTTGAGCATGCCAGCCAATTGAGCTGGAGACGTCTCACCACGATTGGGCAGCGCGACGACGCACGCGCGTGACGTCGTGCGCGTGAGCAGCACATAATACACTCCAGCTTCAACGTCCACAGCGCTTTTGACTTCCAGTACAGAGCCGGGCGCGCGTACAGTGTTTGCCAATTTGACTGGACAGGACGCGTCCACATTTTGACCAATGACGTCGTCGTCCTGGCGCTGCTGCGGGCGCTTCGAGCGCGCTCGCGTGCGTCGAGTGGAGCCGTTCGTGCGCGTCGTCGGCAGCTGCTTGTGGCACAGTAACTGCTCGTTCGGCGGCGTCTTGTGGTCGTTAGAAGCCGCGCTCGACTGCTGCAGCGTGAACGCGTTCACCACAACTAACGAGTCCGTTCGAAGCCGCTTGGGGCGAGCTCTGGTCATGGGTACAGGCGGGTGCTAGCGCTACTTCAGCCGAACCGCCGCGAAGTGGGACGTCGTGTGGTGCACACAACCGAATCGACTTCGATCAATCTGACTGGTCGTCCGGTGGTGTACCCACTCGTCAGACGTCACACACGTCGCAACTCACCCGCACATCTTTCGCATCGACTCGCGATGGCGACTCGAGCAGAGTGGACGCCGTCGTCGTGGCGCGCGTTTCCCGTCAAGCAGCAAGCGCCGTATCCGGATGTTGCAGCACTGGACGTCGCCCATGCAAAGCGTACGACAGATAGCTGAGTGTTGTATTGTGTTTGAGCCAAAACGAAACAGTGTCGATGGATGAACTGATACTAACGTTCTCACGGAGACATCTGATGCAGTCAGGCGATTGCCTGGACTTGTCTCAGTGCGTGAGATCGAGGCGCTCAAGACGCAGTTGGCAGACGTTGCAGCGGGCAAACGCTTTTTGTTGCAAGGCGGCGATTGTGCCGAACGGTTCCAAGACTGTCAGCCAGAGCTGATTGAGAAGAAGCTCAAGATTATGATCCAAATGAGTCTTGTGCTCGTGTGGGGCGCGCGAATGCCTACGGTCCGTGTAGCACGCATGGCGGGGCAGTTTGCCAAGCCCCGATCGAGTGACACGGAGATGCTCGACGGAGACGAGGTGCCGAGCTTCAGAGGTGAGAATATCAATGGGTACGACAAGGACGAGCGCACGCCCGATCCGAACCGACTGCTCGATGGATATTTCCACAGTGCTGCGACGCTGAACTACGGCCGTGTCCTGCTGGACTCGGGCATTGCCGATATTCATGATGCTGGCCAGTGGGATCTCGACTTTGTGCAGATCTCTTCTCGTCGTGAAGAGTATCAGCACATGGTCCGTGAGATCACGGATAGTTTGCACTTTGTGCAAATGTGCGGTGTTGGGGCAGACTCTCCTCATTTAAAGACGGTAGATCTATTCGTGTCGCACGAAGGCTTGGAACTCGGATACGAAGAGACCATGACACGCAATGTGAATGGCAAGTATTATAACCTCGGTACGGACTTTCTTTGGATTGGTGATCGCACACGTCAGCTGGACCACGCTCATGTCGAGTATTTTCGCGGCATTGAAAACCCGATTGGTATCAAGGTTGGTCCAAGCATGGGTGTAGATGAATTGGTGCCTTTGATTCGTAAATTGTGGAGAGACCCCGAGGCCAACCCGGGCAAGATCACGCTTATCACGCGTTACGGTAGTGGCAAGGTGCTAGACCTCTTGCCCAAGCACATTGCAGCAGTAAAAGCTGCAGGTCTGAAGGTGATTTGGTCTTGCGATCCGTGCCACGGTAACACGATTGTAGCTGAGAACGGCTACAAAACTCGGCCATTCGACCGCATTTTCGGCGAGCTGGAGCAAACGCTGGAAATCCACCGCAAGGCTGGTACCGCTTTGGGCGGGGTGCACTTTGAGCTGACGGGTGAAAACGTTACCGAGTGCATCGGTGGTCCGCAGGGCGTCGAAGAAAGCGATCTTCCACTACGCTACACAAGCTACTGCGACCCGCGGCTGAATTATTCGCAGAGTATGGAGGTGGCGTTCTTGCTAGCCAAGCGATTGTCAGTGCATCACGATCTGGCGCCGCTGAACGAAAAATCGAAGATGCGGAAGCGATCGATGGAGATTAGTGATGCATTTAAGCGTGTGCGTGCTGATGAGTAGATCTAATTGACGTATGTCAAGCAAGCGGTCGATGAATACCGTACAGCTAACATGCACGGAATCAAGGCACCGCATGTCTGCGAGTTGGGTGGAAGGTGTCATAAATGACGACGTGGTAGCAATCTTCTGTGTGGGGTGATACTGATAAGCCGTTTTGACGATTGTGTCCGGAAACGGTTGCGCATGTCGCACGCTTTACCACTAGGACAGCACGTTGTCATGTTTGACGATGCGCCTTTTAGTAGTGAGATTGACGAAGGTAGTCTGTGTGTTTGACGTATAGCATAACACGACGCATGCTTTCACGGTCCATCCTTGCTGCGAATTGACCGTTGCACTCTTGCAAGCATCAGCTGTCAGCGGTAGCGCACTGCGAACAATAGCAGACCTGTCAGGCGTCATCACTTGGCTAGTGTTATGCAAGACAAGAAATCGTCGATTGCGAGTCGCTGTGCTCGAATGCATCTTGTCCAAGCGACTTAGTGTCGTGTTCCAGCTGAGAGGTGACGATACCATCAGACGCCGAAGAACTTTTAAACGAGACAATGGCCTCTCGATTGGTGATAAGCTGTACTTTCGAGAGCTTTTTGCGAGAAAGAAGCAGAGGTTTTACTGTTACGCTGACCGATGGACGGTAATCTGAACATTGTGGCTCTTTGAACGTTGACGAACGGCTTGCTGTATGCGCTCCCTGCGCGTGAATGCAGCACAACACATACTCGGTCGCCCTATAGAAGCTCCATTGGCTTCGCTGTGCATTTTGCAAACCGAGAGTAAATCTGAGTAGAGACTGAGGTATCCACAGACGACCTGATGGAAAGGTCGACTATATATCGTATAGCGCACGACGCTGCAGGGCTTCTCGACTGTATACGATTTCTGCACAAGCCCTCTACCTCCTTTAGCCGGCAACTGCATGTTTCCACGAAAAACGCAGCAGCAGTGTACATGAATTCCTTCGAAAGTAGGTATTGCTTTCTTGCTGTCTAGTGCAGAATCACACCAGTACGTTTCTGCTTTAGTTGTTGGAACGTCCTGATATTGAGCGCTTTGTCAAACCAAACTGTCGACTCGTATGCATGCGTAAGCAATGCTACCACACGGCTGTAAATTTCTTCAGCTCGCAGGTCTTGTCGTCAGCACCCGCACCAAAAAGGAGCGGCTGTGATTTGCTTTGATCAAGACAATGCTTCCCAGCTGGTGACACTTGGCAACAACTTGACTGCGATAGGCCTCACCTGTGCTGTGTGTACCGACTTTGGTGACAACGTATCTCGGCAAGGTAGACAGCAAGCGCAACAACGCAAGTCCTCATGGAATATTGATACGAGTGTCGTAACCCTATGGATTTGATTGGGATGCTGGCTGCTATCGAGCAGAGGGGCCTAGTTGTGTATCACTTACTGTCGCGTCAAAGTCCGCGCCACCTGCAACCACTGTCGACTATATTCACCGACAAATGACAGGTTGATATGTGTCATGCCCTGTATTTACCCGCTGCGTGTATCGGGGTGAGCCCTTTACATAAAAATTGATATCTCTGTATCAATTTTTAAACATTATCTATTAAGATAATGTTCAATCGACATTACTAGTAAGGAGCAAGGTTAAAAGGACTATTACCCCTGAAGGTCATGTTTCTTTGATGGGTTGCTCCACCTGATGGTTGATGTTCACGGTACATCAACCAGATTAACCACCAATCGCTGCTGGACGCGCGAAATGGATGGTGAGCAAGAAACCCACATAGGAGATTGTAGTTTAATATAGTTAGCTCAAGACAAAGATGGTTTATTAAGAAAACATAACTATGTTAAATACAGTTCTGCTTTTCCCTTAGACAGAACTTTCGAGTTCCGCCTACTTCGCTGCGCTTCCTCACGCCACGTGTACGTGACGTCGGGTGCACACAACCTTGTGTTGAATTGACACAAGGCGTGCCCCGTTACACTGCACAAGGTATGAGATACATTACTCACTGCTTCTGTAGACGCGGCAAGTGCGGCCGAATGTGTCGTACCGCGTGTACACCTTTCTTTGCAGCCGATGCTTGAATGGAGAACGATCTTTTTCTCGTCGACAATGGACACTGATGCAGATTGGTGCTCACGATCTAAAGGACAAGGACCTCTTGTACTGGGTTTTGCGACCGCATAGATGCAATGGCACCTATGCATTACCGGGTAGATTGCGTCGACATTTCGTCAATATTTGCATCCTTGTGCTGAGCACAGTGTGGGCGGTCGACGAAAAGTCGTCATATCTAGGCAATGTCCCACTGGGATGTATTGTAGGAAGGTATGCCGTAAGGAGATACGCTTACTACCCGTCGCGGTCGCTCCGAGCCCCATTACACACCTGAACGATCATGTGTTGCGATCGTGCAAGCGCGCACCAATTGCAGCTGAACGAGACGAGTGTACTATTTCACGTTGCTGTGTTGGTCAATGTTTTCGGCACTTCTTCCATTGTGTGCACATCAGTAAGCACGTTTTCACAAAAGCCGTCAAGTAGGTAATCTTAGGTCTGCAGCAAGATGTAGGGCATCCGAAGATGGCCAGGTGGCTAAAAAAGAGTGACGATAGCGGGTGTGAGATAGGTACGCGGCGGTCGATGCATCCCGATGAGGGAGCTGCGTGATGCAGGTAGCGGGAGGAGAGCTAAGGGAGCGAGCTGAATACAGAGCGAGACGCAGTGACCAGAGTGAGGGTAATACCACAGATTCGTGTTCGAGATGGAGGATCAGATGAGCAAGAAGAGGCACGATAATTTGTGTACGTGTACGTGAGGAGGTTTCAGTAGCAAAAGATACGATCATTTGTTTAGATTGGAAGAAGATCCCGAACCAACGATATCGTGTATGCCTATACACGCTATAATGAGCACGGATGGAAATTTTAGCGGAGGCACACAGCTCCTCAAGCCAGAGGAAGACTTAACGCTCTACGAGCAACTTTGGTTCAATGAACCCGACTCAAAGAGTCGACAAGCTCAGAGAGCTTACGGTCGATATTCCAGGGGGACCAAATGATTCAGAGAATCAAAGCACAGAGTGCACAAGGAGTAGCTGCCTTAACAAGGCGTTGCTACTTCCTTACGTTGGCAAGACATCTCAGAGAGGCACGTGTCGTTTGTTGATCAAAATGGGAACTGAACTTTATTCCTATTTATCTAAAAGAACACCTCAGAACACCGTACTTAACCTAGTCACTACTGTTCTAATTAATACCTGCTAAATGGCCTCTTAATTCGGTGGCTGACACACGTCAGCCCCTGACAATTGATACTGTGTTCTAATATCACTTTAAAGGGGATCCCATCCCTTGTGTGTACCACACATGTACTGTCCGTACATACCCCTGTCGACGTGTAACCCCGTTACGCCCTCCTTCATTAGACTGACGTTTCCACAAAAACGTCAATCGAAATCTTTCCTCGAAGAGGACGGTGTGTGTGCGCTTCAACCTTACGGTTTGCAAAACATGAAACATTATGGCATCGCCACACAATGAGTACTCGACTCTCTCTTCCTACCTCGGCATTGATGTGGAGGTGAACTATGGTAGCGATACCGATATCTATGGTGAAGAGAGTACAATGTCCGACTCATCAGTGCAAGAGGCACAGCCTCCTTCTGCACCAAACCCATTTTCCGAGCGTGGCGAAGCCAACGCGCCACCGGCGCTGCATCAAACACCCATCGTGAGCGATGCCATCATCGCCAATCCGCTCGATGATCAACAAAAGTCGGCTATCCAACGAGAGGAGAGCGCTCAGCGCCGTATGCAGCTTGCTGCAACCCTTGAGGGTCGTCGTGGCTATCTGTTCACTTTACTCGGTGTAAAATACGTATACGCCAAACGACAGGTCTTTCCTTGGAAACGTGGCCCATTGGCGCTGATCCAACATCTCCTGATGAGGTTGCGAGTTGACAGGTGCTTCGCGAGAGGTACCTGCAACCTAACTTGACGACTCAAAGTCAATACAAGTTGCGATTTGACACGCAAGCACAGGGTGCACCGTTTCCACCGATGAAAATAATACGCATCCTCCTATTCGCAGGCGAATCTCAGGAAGAAGAAGAAGGCAACGCGTTTGTTCGCTAGGTGCATCGTAAACGACACCTCATCAGCGTGTTGTTTCTTAGAGCAAGTGCCGATCTGGCAGACGTCTGTCTAAAACTAAATCTTCGGTATGATTACGACAAGCTTAAGACCAGAGGCCAGTTGCGAACTCGCACACGCTATGCTCCGGCTGTGCCGATTGATGTGAGTGTTGGTCAAGCGGTGCATAACTACCCACCAGCTTTCACCACTATTGGTGAGAATCGTCCTTGGTCACAGGAGGACCCTTGCCGCGATGTTCAAAAACATCCCAGGCGTACGGGAAATCCTGCCGAAGGGGCATATCAAAGTCCCATGAGATTTTCGACTCCGGGTACCCTAGACAATCCACCAAATACTTGTATTGGCCATGACGAAGACGTCGTTCCAGGATTCTCTCTACATCGAACTGGCGGTCCCCTTGCTCATCGGGCAGCGTCGGAGGTGGTCGGTATACCTAAGGAGGAGCATGAGAAGGTGCTTCTCGATCTGAGTAGTCTCCGTGAGACATTGAGTAAGACCCAGAGTGCGCTTGACGCGATGCAAGCCCGTTTTCAGGCATTGTAGTTGGGTCAAGCCGGGATGGAGGCTCAGATTGACCTCCTGATACGGTTTTAGCAACTGATGGCAAGGCCAACTTACGCGGCGCAAGCGCCTCCAAGTTCAAGTGGGACGGATCCCAATACGACTAAAGCAAGCCAACGTAGAACACAGGGTGTGTGAGCAATTTGCGCGGAAGGTTGAATGTATCCGCAATTCCCTTCTTAGCGACGACCGTGAATGGTTCAATGAAGTGCGGACGCAACTTTGTCTTGAAGACGGCGGACACTACATTCGTAGGTTAGTTTTTAGCGTTGAGTAGAACTTGGTCTCCTACCTCATAACGTTCAATACAAC